GGTAATTGAAATGAACTTACAAGAAAAAATCCTTGAAGGCTGTGTAACTCTGTTAATAAAGCACAACGAATACGTTCGAATAGTGACTGAAGAGTTTGCTGAGCCTACATGCAGACCAGAAATATCTTAATGATGCATTAAATTTTTTTTTAATCTTCCAGACTTAAATCATTAAAAAAACTAAACACTTGGAACCCGCAAGACTCGAAGAGAACGAAGACTGCAGGAATCAAACTGAGTAAAATTTTCCAAGAAACCCCGAAGTAAAGCAGAGTCTAAATTTTAAGACTCGGCCGACATGGTCGCCCCTGACGCGATAGCGGGCGAGATTGCCATGCGCCAAATGCGAATTGCGACGTTTTACGGCCGTAGGAGTATTTTTCCGCCCCAACCACGGAGATAAAGCGAGCTTTTTTAAACGAGTCCCGAATACTAATTGTCGCTGATATCAGACCCTCGGAAGTGCGTCCTGGGCATTACGAGGCTGCGTGATCGTACGGAAAGTAATAACATTGTTCCTGCTCGTATTGTTCGGGCACTTTGACTGGATTATGCTATTGTATATACAATTGCTTTTTAACTTGATTGCTCTCATGGTAATATCAGTGACCCTGGTATAAAAGGTAGTATCTGCTTCACAATTACGTACAGTTAGGCTAAGCAGTGAATTAGCATTATTTTTCTCAATGTGCATTCGTTGTTGTTATGAAGAGTTACGTGAATTCATATTACACCGTGGGTTCATGTCATTGGTCAAAAATGTTTCAACCTTATGGCGCTTTGGAAGTAAATAAACTAGAATTGAACAAAAAATTATGAATATTTTTCCACGAACAACATTATTCAATCCAGAATTTGATATTCATCAAGCAGGTTCAGGTACTTCTTGCTTTTTTCCATCATAACGGCTATAAACTACTAACCATAATCAGAATTTACTTCCCTGCTAACAAAGAAGAAATTTTTAAGAGCTCTATAATAATTTCAAAGCGTAGGGTAACCCTGAGCAGCATTTACCCGCAAATGACCAATAAAGATTAAAAAAAGTAGAAAGCTGGAATAAATTCATGCATCAACAATCATCAAACGGGACAAATTCCTGGCGCTGTAGCAATGCCAGGTAAGCTTTTGTTTCGTTTTGTGTGTCTAAGCTCAAGACGTTAAACCAATCACTGCCCCCACGACCTGTAAAAAACTTGTATGATGTTTGCTCGGCTTTTGTTTGAGGTATTTGCCCATCATTGTGATGCTGTTTAGCGCTGTGTAGACCACCGCTGCTCGTGCTCATGATGCTTCAACACTAGAAGATGGATGTGTGTGCGTCCCGTGAAAAAGATGGATGAGAGTGTGGATCACATGGATTAAAAGCAGTAGTGTATATCCCATGAATGCGATGAATGAGTGTCTGAATAATAATTGCTAACTCTCCTATGGATAAGTGAATGATACCTCATCTTATAAGTGCATGTATGAATAGTTTTGAGATACACTGATGGGGTTACTGAATTCAAATGTCATGAATGAGCTGCTAGCATCTCAACGAAAGCAAGCCGCATCCACAATGTGATTCTAACTCTCTTCGTGTCATCTGTTCCTGAATCCGGACTATAATTGACTAATAAATCATCATGTATGGCCAAGAGCGAACAAATTTTCTACTCATGATTTTTTTTTAGTTTCAACTGATATGATTGCTGCCATTTCAATCCCCACTGTTGTCATAACTTTTTAGCAGTTACACTGTATGTCTACATCTACAGATTTCACTGTCATATTGTTTTGTCGTAGAAAACTAGCTCAGCATTGCCTGTGCTAGTTTTCTATGCGCCAGTTGCCACTCTACGTATAGCTGAAGTTTACTGATCCAGCAATCATTTTACGACGACACTTCTAGACAATGCTTTTGAATTAACACACAAAAAAACACTGCAGGCAGTTTCAAAACATTCTCTACCCAACTGCCGCTGCCGCTGTCGATGTCGTCGGTTCAAATACTGTCACATTTACCATACAAACATTGCTAACAATACTTTCAAAGTAAGCTATATGCCCCCTTATACTGACACAAATTCCCCTCTGCTGTAGCTGACACTATAACTTTAAATGAAACTAAATTCCCTATAATGACACATTTGCCCAGCTACCTTAGCTGATTCTGTACTTACAAACTAAGCGTTTCGCCACCTATACTGATACTTCTCCCCCGCTATACCGTAGCTGACACTATACTTTCAAACTATAAGTTGTGTGCCCCTTATAGCAAGAGCTTTTCCTTTCTGACTCTCTTGCAACTTTGCTGCTGATGCAGAACTTTTGTGTCAGTATTGCGGCTGACAGAAGCTCCACTGTCAGCCATGTCAGAGTCACAGAGCAGTTATTGCCTCGTCTCCATCGCACGTCTCGCTGACGTGCTGATGCAGCACTTTTTGTGTCAGTATTGCAGCTGACAGAAGCTCCACTGTCAGGCATGTCAGAGTCACAGAGCAATTATTGCCTCGTCTTCATCGCACGTCTCGCTGACGTCGTGGCGGCGCTCCGGCACCAGGCAATGGCGCGTTCTCAAGGGAGCGTCATATAAACGTGCTATCCACCAACTAAGACTTTTCTTATCATTCTTGCAGAAAATTAATTATATTCATATTTATTCATATATTACAACAGTCTATTTCCTATTTCGCTTGCCTTTTTATCTCAATTGCCTAATTGTACACTAATATTAATAATTATATGCTGGTACATGTAAATAATTTATGCATTGCTTAAACGACATTTTGTTCTAAATCAATAACGACTTTACAAACTTTAAACAACAAGCTTCAAAAATCTTTTTTTAAACAACTTTAAAAAACTAAAAATAAAACAGTTTGTACCAATACATAGTACCATTGAATATTTTTGTTTACGCAGTCACAGTAGTTGAATTTGCGATTAATTAAGTTTTACTTTCATTAACTATTTTTTACTATTCAACAGTGAATCGCGCAATTTATTTAAAACGTTGTAGTTTCGTGAAATGTTAGAAGCTCAAAGATTATGACAAAAATTACGACATGGCAATGCTTAATACTTGTTTTAAAATTGTACAAAAAATGTTATTGTTGATGACACCAGTGACAATACAAATTTCTCTACATACATTCTATATATGGAGAATGTATATAGAGAAATTAAACATTATCTATATATACATTCCTTTTCGGCATTATTTGGTATGACAACGAACGGGACGTTGTAGACGCGCCTTCCTGCGAACAATCTTAGAGCGAACGCTAAGCGACGCTTCGAGATGGATGACTTGATCTGGAAAAAGAGTAGAGCTGTAGCAACGGCCGCATCATGGCCATTTCCATAAAAGAGTCATTAGGACAAGGCTCCCTTTTGTGCAAACTACACGACTCAGGAGGCCCTTCTTCTCTCCCTGCCCCCTCTTCCCTCTAACCATTACACTCTCGGCCATTCCCCGTCTCTATGGGTTCCCCTCGTCTACCCTCTCGTTAACAGCTCACTCGTTTTCCCCTTGTTCTTTATCACTCGAGATTACTTACAAACTCGTGATATTTTAGCTTTTACTATTAATTTGCTATGTTGATCAGAGTAATGAGATATAGTATAGTAGAGAGGTTGTATAAGAAAATCTCACACAACTCTGCGAGTAGACGTATAAAAGCACAAATGATCGTAGCGTTCTTTTCATCATAGGCCGATATAATAGCGATATTGCATATTTTACTTACAAATAATTTCAAAGATTGATTATTGATGCCATTACTGAATTATTTGAAAATGAAAAAACATTCAGCATTGGCTTGAGTTAACATGTAAGACAAATTGACATTCATTCTAAGATATAATATATACTATCTTACACTGTTCAATATTCCTATTGAGTGTACCTTTTGTAATCACTAATCAAATAATCTCGCAAACCATCAATCGGATATAATCATTATTATGCAACTGGTGCTCATTTGATATTGAAGCCAGCACTTACATCATGCGTAGGTCAATGAACATCACCATCAAAAACCAACGCTCGTAACAAAACTACACGAAAATTTTTGCATTACCCTCTGCAGAATACTGAAATCTCTCTATTATTCTGAAATTTCTGCTGCTTTCTAAAATTCCTGCAATGTTCCAAAATTTCTGCAGCATTTTGAAATTCCTGCAGTATCATGAAATTTCTCCAGTACTCTGAAATTTCTGCAGTACTCTGAAATGTATGCAGTACTCTGAAATCTCTGCAGTAGTCTGAAATCTCTGCAGTATTCTGAAATTCCTTAAGTATCCTGAAACTTCTGCAGTATTCTGAAATTTCCGCATTAATCTGAAATTCCTGCAGTATTCTGAAATTTCTGCAGTGTTCTGAAATCTCTGCAGTATTCTGAAATTTCTGCGGTATTCTGAAATTCCTTCATTGTTCTGAAATTCCTACAGTGTTCTGAAATTTCTGCAGTATTCTTAAATTTCTTGCAATATTCTGAAATTTCTGCAGTGTTCTGAAATTTCTGCAGTATTCTGAAATTTCTGCATATTCTGAAATTTCTGCAGTATTATGAAATACCTGCATTATTCTGAAATTCCTGAAGTGTTCTGAAATTTCTGCAGAATTCTGAAATTTCTGCAGTATTCTGAAATTTCTGCATATTCTGAAATTTCTGCAGTATTCTGAAATTTCTGCCGCATTATGAAATACCTGCATTATTCTGAAATACCTGCAGTGTTCTGAAATTTCTACAGTATTCTGAAATTTCTGCAGTATTCCGACATTTCTGCGGTATTCTGAAATTCCTGCAGTGTTCTGAAATTTCTGCAGTATTCTGACATTTCTGCGGTATTCTGAAATTCCTGCAGTATTCTGAAATTTCTGCGGTATTCTGAAATTACTACAGTATTCTGAAATTCCTTCAATATTCTGAAATTTCTGCAGTATTTCGAAATTCCTGCAGTACTCCGAAATTTCTGCGGTATTCTGAAATTTCTATTTCTTATTGCTACAGGTGAACGTCCCTACAAGTGCCACCTGCCAGACTGCGGTAGAGCCTTCATTCAGTTATCCAACCTTCAGCAACATCTCCGCAACCACGACGCGCAACTCGAGCGCATGAAGAACAGGCCTTTCCACTGCAACATTTGTGGCAAAGGCTTCGCTACTGAGAGCTCACTGCGCACACACACTTCTAAGGTAAACATCGTGACCTTCTATAGCATTTGTGACTTGAAAAGTTGAGACCTAAGAGTCAAGATGAAAGTACAAACTTGAATGTTACGAGAATTTTAAGTTATTTATAAGGATTATTACTTTGGGAAACTGGTATTCGAATTAATAGTTTCGAATAAACTAATTATACTAATGAGGTAGTGTTTGGAATGTTTTCTATAGCGCACAGTTTCTCTTTTTCTTAATTTTGTGGCTTAAATTTTAATTACACAGCATGATATTGGAACTTTGATCGATGAATACATTTCGTGAACTGAGATTTCGGAAGCTGTGAAAACTTGCAGTTGGGATATTAAAAAAGGCTTTACTTTCATTTCATAGTTCATTCATAGTTTTTATCAAACCTTTCGGAATTTATAAATACAGAAAATGGTTAAAGCATTTTCACTATCCCAGTTGCATAACAATATGTCATAAATATAGGTCCGTTAATTTAAACTTTTCAAGAATGCTTGTGGTGTGCTTGAATGACTTTTTTATCTTCAATTTACAAAAGTCCAATATTACAATTTACAAACAGCACAAAATAGCTTACATTTAAGCTTGGTCACTAAAATTTTCGATTAGCTATTGTTAACGAAAGTAATCTCAAGATTAAGGCAAAATTATTTACTTATTTTAGATACCTTCCGAAATCAACACCGAAGTATGGGTCAATTCATAGTCAGGACACATAAGAACAATTTGTAAAAATGTAAATCGAAATTTACCAAATTTTTAAATTCCCATAATCAAGGTTTAGAGTAACCAAAAGCAATAAAAGTCATATTTGCGATATTGAAATATTATTTTCTGTCCATGAGGATCACATGGTTTATTTTCACCACTTACTCAAGAACTTCATATATTGCACCAATTTTGGGTTTAATTAATCAGTCGATTATACAAAAACACACATAAATATTGATATTCTGCGGACATTCCCTACAGATTGAAGCGTAAATTTGATTGTACAAGTATCAATTAACCGATGATTTGGATGGGCTCTAATATGTTTCAGATAAAATATGCTTGGGGAATTCCTGTTATTTTATTTGTTTAATATTCACAATTAATTCAATATTTTAACAATCCCATAATTCTAACACTAATGTAATTATTATAATAATTCGAAATCAACCCCCAACTTTCCATGAATGTTTTTGAATAAAATTTCTGATAAGACTGGTATGCCTGTTACATGTTATTGCGGCGCGCTATACGAAAATCAATTCATGTTCTCCATTCTAACAAAATATTCAACGATGAGTTCCCATTCTTACTATCACTCTTTCTAAAATTATTTATTTTTTTTTATTTTTAACCCGCATGTTAGCATAATGTATAACGTGTTATTAATCCTTTCTTTATTTTCTAGTTATTCGAGCTCCTCGCAACCCTTTTATAAAAAACCCTGTCATGTCCACTCATGTTAGTAGAATATGTACTCAAACCTCATTTCATCCTTAAAGCTTTCTGATACGAATCATCACTGCCCTTGCAATATTTTTCCTCTCACTGCTTTTAGGAGAGAATGAGATTTTTTCTTTTAAGAGATAATTCTCAGGAAACAAATGCTCTTTTTGAGCAGTCATATGGTAACGTTTTTTCTTATGTTGTGAGCAAAATAACATTGAGTTTCTCCTTCACACCAAAGCTCTCAAATTTGATCCAATCTCTTTAAGCTCTAATTTATTCCTAAAATTTTGTTTTAATGAGTTTATTTCTCTCTCTTCACTCTCGATAGTAATTGTGAGACATCCCTACTTTATTTTACCGAGGAAGTCTAGTCGATTGAGTAGCAAAGCTAGACCTGAGTGCCTTTATTATTTTCCCATCAAGTCGTTACTTTGTCAGCTACTATTTCCCTCTGCAACCTTCACTTTCGACTTGATTTTTTTTTCTCCCGCGTGCCACTAAAAAAGTTTGAAAAATAAAAACCAGTCTTTGAGTAAAAGTATAAAAAAATGAATCCATCAACAATTTCTATTAATTAACTTTAATGTCAATCTCTTTCCATTTCCCTATTCGCCTTCACATATACAACCAATCACACACACACACACAACAGAGAAGGAAAACATGGACATTATCGGAAGGGTTGCGAGTGAGGTCGAGTGCAGTGAACAAATGCGAGCGTTGGTGTATCTGAGCTTTGCAAATTATGTTGTTCACCGATAGATGTGTCGTACGCAGCACACTGCCCTGGTTGGAGGTCCCAATGCAGTCAACTGCCCTCAGTGTCAGAAACTCTTTATGAATGGAGAACAGCTCATGGAACATATGAAGTTCACCCATAGGGACCCCAATGCCTCTGGCGTCGCAGGTAAGTCATTGTACTAAGAAATGTGGTTTATTGGTGTCTTCTCATGCTTTAGTTCGTTCTGTTCGTGTCCTAATTCTTTTCAAAATAAAATAAATTCAATTAACCATAAATTTTGTTTATATTTTCAAGAGATTGAGAGTCAATACGGCAGTTTAAATTCTGGATTTCCTGAATATTCTGTTCCATGTATGGAGAAAAGTTACTGAAATTCTTTAAAAATAACGTTGCAGTTTTAGTGGTAGTTGACTTCCACGCGCGATTGAGCCATGCGACAACACAGTATATATATGGGACCATCAGTCGGATGTTGAGACAGTTGTCTCCAACAAAGTTATAATTAGATAGTCTATAATGTATATATTAAATCTCTCTACTTGGTTCACCTACATAATTTCTGCAAGAATCTCTTTGCATTCCTGCGCTGAAAAAATAGCCTCACCAGTTTGTGTCGTAACAATATTTAGCATTTCACCGACCCACGCTCGCCTTTTTGCTATGAATCTTGTGGAATACTAATTACGATTCTCAAACTGATTACTTTTGTATCGTTCTCATTAACCATGTTTGTTTTTCACATTTCGATGTCAACTTTAGCGGCTGCACAATATTCACGCCTCGCATTTTACAGCCAAGCGTCGTACGGCCTCTCACTCGTGCCCGGTGTGTGGCAAGCACTACGTCAACGAAGGCAGTTTGCGAAAACATCTTGCATGTCATCCTGAGACGTCGCAGTTCACATCGTCGCTACGCATGTGGCCGTGCTCAGTCTGTCACGCTGTCTTTACCCACGAATCTGGTGAGAATGATGAGGATACATAACGCTGTTTGATGAAGTTAGTTTAGAATTTTCTTGAAAATTCCAGTTTCTTCGTTTTCTGATTCACTTTACTAAAATATTCTTATATTTTTCCTTGGTTGAACAATTCAGCTCATTTAACCAGAGATTAATATTCACCTAACTTCTGAATTGTAAAGAGTTTAATTTGCAACCGCAAGCACGAATTATCATTGCATCGCTCATCGTCAGATTTCACTTACCATAGCCATGGTTTGTGATTACTTTCAAGAATCCATGTCACCAAAATAAATAAATTCGTAGGTGCGAGCACTCTCTAGTGTATAATTTTTCAAAGATATCCTGTTGCATCCATCAAAGTAAGAAATTACTTATAACGTAAATATTAACTAGCGAGCACTCTTTAGTGTATAATTTTTCAGAAGTAAGTCTATTGCATGCAAGTAAGAAATTACTTATAACGTGATGGTGCCTGCAGGTCTGCTGAACCATATGGAGCACATGCGCATGGATCCCAAGCATCAGTTCGCTGCCCAGTACGTGCTGTCGCGCGCAGCCGCTGAGCGCAGAGAACGAGAGAGCTTGCTCGGCCTCGCACAAGTTGGACTTCAAGGAGGAGGAAACCACATGGGGATGGGTATGGGCATGGGAATGGGCATGGGTATGGGCATGGGCATGGGAATGGGTATGGGCATGCCGCATCAGATGCAACATCAAGCCCAACACCAGAACCCTGTCTCTCACATGGCAATGGCAGCCTCACCCCCACAGAGCGACGCCTCGTCCCGCATGTCAACCCCTGCTGAAAAGCTCGACATCGGCCTAGGCCGCATGCCATCTCCGACTGACGCTCTTCGGTCCATCTCCTCGCATCATGATGTTATGAACCACATGCGACCACACGGAGGAGACAACATGCGAGCCATGATCAGCCAGAGTCAGGCTGAACTGGTTAAATCCACTCTTACGTCTCAAGCAGAAACAATTCGGTCAGTCATGGCCTCACAAGCCGAGGCAATCCGGTCCCTTACCAACCAGCACCACCATCAGGGTTCGCACAACGGACAACAACAACATCAGCAACAGCAGCCGCAACAGCAACAACCACCACCCCAACAACAACCGCAATCCCAACCATCGTCGCATCAACAGCAGCAACAACCACAACAACAATCTCAGCCAAATGGTCATCAACAGCCACCTGAACCGCTTGCATCACCTCAACCTGACTTGCGGGACCTGAGGTTGTCTAACTCCAACGGCGGGCCAATAATTGATGGTTCTTTGAGGAACCCTCAGTCGGAAGCTCTACGACTGTCAAATCCCGACGTTCGCCCTCCTTCCCACCAAAGCGATCTCGGTGAAGCTCTTCGTCTGCAGGAGGCGCGTATGGAGCAGGCCCTGCGTCTGCACGGAGACCCGCGGTCCTTATCATCCTCCTTACCAGGTCCTCTTGGCTTCTCCCTGGCTCCTCCGCAGCACCAGCCACAGCAGCAGAGTGCCTAGGATTACGCCCACGACTATGAGCAGCTTTCTTAGTCGTCTGTTAGATAACCCAAGTAACGGCATTACAATATAAACAATTTAAACATTCCGATTGCGAGATAACGGTCATTCATCTTAATACCTGTTCAGGCTCTGGTAGTTCCCATTAAATATAATAACTCGCATACGTATTCCCGACCATGTGCATGAGCAGTTTAGATTTTCCTGGTACCTCTAGACTTGACAACAAATTTAAACAAAACGCAGAAATTCCACACTCGATTTTTTTGTCCTTCACGGGAAGGCAAAATAAAAGACTCGGGTCACAGTTGTAAATATTTTCTGTGATAAAAAGTGGATGTTCTTGGATTTGGTTGTGAAAAAAAAAATGAAGAGCCACCATCATCATGATTCCGAAGTACACTTGCTACATGCGGATATATAAGTGTTAGTGCAATTGTGTTGAACTGGTTGTTTTGTTAAGTGAAAAAACGAACAAAAATCGGAAAAGAATGGACTTAATGTTAACCTGTACAGTTTGTATTGATACATTTGAATAAGTACGGATCAAATAATAGCGCAAAGCAACGTATGTTTTAAGAAAATTCACCAGCATGTATTTTTACTGTCTCATCTCAAAATTGTGTTTCATTTGCATGTTAATTAAAGTAAAAAATCAAGCTTGAATCGCTGAATTTCAAGAATTTTATAAGAATCGTATGAATTGCTAAAATTCTCAGCAAAACCTCTTCGATATTTTTCAAATGACGCAATATTTGTGCGGAAAATTATGTTAAAATCATACAAAAGGAATAATAATTGTATTAATGTACAGAGTTGGTTATAAATAATTCCTACAGTAGAGCAAAAGAGATTCGACGTAGTGAGTGTAGTTGGTTCTCTATGGTCATTTCCTAATAGTTAATAAGCCCTCACGTTGTACGATACATTTCCGATGAGCCGTGTTGTAACTGCTTTCGAAGAATGCAACCTACCGCATGGCGCAACTATGCTGGAGCTCATGCGGCTTTTGGAATCCATGTTGTAATTATCATTAGAATGTAAGGAGCCCCTGTTTATGAGAAATATGTTCGCTTTCTGTAATGCATAATAATCCCTTCAAGTGTTCATGTGTAAACAACTAAGCGAATGAATTATCTGGACTGATTGAGAACTAGTATCATCTGTGAAAAACAACCCTGTTGATTGTAGAGTTTGTCTCGCTATAATGCAAACGCATGCAGCTGTGAGAAAGCGTGAGGCTTTTTGACTTCTATGGAAGGTACGGGATTGAATTCAAGATGAATTCATAAACCTCATCAGAATATACATTTTTCAGTGTTAACATTATCAACCGGGTTAAAAAAAATTCCTCAACATTACTCCGTATTTTAGATCGGTAACAACCTGGTAAAGTTTTAACAGAAGTTAATTTTTGAGCGACTGTATATGCGACAAACTTTGCAACGTCTGAAATTATATTGTCACGAATTAAAATCATCGAGAACCATCGAGGATGCCAGGATGGTTAGCCTACATGATAATATTCCAATTGCCAGACGCAAAATGAACTAACTGATCATACTTCAACGGTAAGCCAGATTTGTACGAAAACCTGATTTTTTTAAACAGATGGACTGGCGCTTTCTTAGGGTATGCATATGAGAATTTGGCTCAGTGACTTTTCCAGGTCGAGTACTTCAAATTTGATGTCAGAACTGAAGCATTTTTTAAATTAACTATCAACAAATATGTGTTTTGTACAGCTGAATGCATTAATGATTGTTTGAATGCATCGAGCACAAGATCGATGTTATCTTGCATCTTTACTCCACCACAATTTTCATTTAATTTGGAATAGATGTTTGAAGGCTTTCTGCGTAATTCACCGAAACGATGGGGAAATCTCATATTTAACACGGGAGTTCAGGTGCTATTGTACGCCAAGAAGTAAAGCGTTCATGTTTTGCTGTTGTTATAAATATTCAGGAAGATTATCTATGTTCTACTCGCGAACAATGAAAGTTTTTTCATTGGCTCAAGGTAATTTCAATCAGGTAATTTACTCGTTAAATATAATTATCTGAAGTTCCTGCACGATTATGTTAGTTCAATACGAATGTTCATAAGCGAATTCGGGATTAACGCGATTATTTTATGACCTTCTGGATGTACGAGAAAGAGAGTTCTGTGGTTGAGTCATTTAGCCTATCATGGGTTAAATTACAACCGTGACCTCATCTGGGAACTCTTGGGGCCATACGATCGAGTACGGAGTTTCCTGAGTAGAAACTTCATCTCCATAATATTTTTCTGTTGTTCACTTACACGTTTCTGCAAAAAAAATGGCTCGCCTTAAAAAATCCAGGCATAACAATCGTTGTTTATATAACGGCACAGAATCTGCTGGCTTTATTTCAAGACTTAAAAATTGAATTTGAAAAAATTAATTTTGGCATCGTTAAGATATCAAACGCAACCGTTGAATGAGCAAATAAATTCGCTGGATTTCGCATGAGATAAATAATAATTGAAATGCTAAAATTTAAACTTTTATGCTATTAAAAAAATTTTAATTTATTTGACTATATAGCCGTTTCTTGGATAATTTAACATTGAGTTATTTCGTACAAATTAATTCGCTTTAAACCAGTGATAAATTTCAACGTTAAGCTTGATACTATTAGTAGAGAGGGTAAAAGCAACATAGTTTAACCTCATAACATTGATATCTATGAGCAAAGAGCTCAAAAAAAATTTCTTGGACAAGATCTTTTTAGTGTAACAGCATAAACTAATCTAACTTGTGAGTTTATTGGCCAATACTACAGGTGCCCAGTACTCATCTTTTAATGAGAAAGTTCAAATTAGTTACAGTATTTAACTCTTATTTATTTTATGTGCTGTCAAACAAACAGCTTATTAGATAAAGTCTGGCAAATGTTTTGTTCAATTCTCGATGTGCAAAATTTCCAAAATAATAAAGAATGTGCTCAATTGTACACCTCGACCCACATTTACTATAACTTTAAGTTTTAATCTCACTTGAGTGTTGCTTTGCCTTGTTACTGCATTTCTCCGTTATTTATTGTTCAATTTTCTCATAGTATTTAAGATTTTATTCGATGTAGATTTGGAATAAGTTGGGGGTTCGTGCTTCGGTCTGCTGGTAGCAAAACTAAATTTTCTTAACTATCACATCCCGTTTATCCTTTTGTAAAATTCAATTTGTACATTTCTCAAGTAAAAAGCTCCAACTTAGTCCCTAAGTAAAAAACATTCGAACAATGAACTACTGCATAATACTTCTTAGCAAAAATTGAAGTGTTGTAGCTGCAGACTGGTCAGACTTGCGGTTCTGCGCACGACGCAACGTGTGAATGAATTGCGGTTCTGCGCACGACGCAACGTGTGAATGAATTGCGGTTCCGCACACGACGCAACGTGTGAATGAATAGCGGTTCCGCACACGACGCAACGTATGAATGAATAGCGGTTCTTTACAGTTTACACGACGCAGCGTGTGATTGACTTGCGGTTCTTGCACACTTCGCAGCGTGTGAATGAATGCTCTGCTATGCACACGTCTCGACTCCCACGTGCATTACAAAGTATACTGACGACACCCACTGAACGGGTATAGGGAATCGTATACCTCTCATGCTCTCTATATAAATACGTTTAAAAGAGCTTTATGAATAATGTACAGAACGTGTTGCATGACCATGAATTATCGCTATGAGCCTAAAGCTTCGCATTTTTAGAATCTGTTATCGTGCTAATCTAGAATCAAATCATACTTGATGTTATAGATGTAGAATACATTGATGAAAGCCAGTCGATTTTAGATATGGCGAATCATACATAGTGATGTACAGGGGCTCAAAGTTTGAAAATAGACGGCAATAGGCCGTGTACCGAAAAATTTCTTAGTCCCAAATTTCGTTGAAACCAAAGACAAAAACTTCTCATACATGTGCGGTAGAGGGGGACGTTTCTATGTAAATTCGTACATTGAAACGTACATTCGTGTACACTAATTCAATGTACCGGTCGCGATCTGCTAAATTTTTTCGACCTGTTCCAGTATCAATAAGTTAATTACGCATTTCCTGAATTTGACTGAAGCATTTTTGGTTAAAATTCTGTGTTCGAATGTTTTGTCAAGGTTTGCATACAACCTTTGTACTGCTGACCATAAAAATGCTGTATGTGTAGATACTGATGAGTACACTGTCACAAAATGGAAACCAATGTCTTTCCTTTATGACCCTGCCTACGAGAGTCTGTCAAAAATTCAATTCTAATAAAATTATATACCAACACTTATAAAATAACATTATAGTAGACGAGTTAGTGAAATAGAATTTGGTGGAAAATCCACTCAGACTTTACCTCTCTTCATTCTTTTTTTTATGAGCACGACTCCTTGATAATTGATGTGGCTGAAGACGTGTGCTAATTGGGATGTACTAAACGCAAAGGAGTACGCTTACTTTCAGAAAAATTTCACTGAAAAAATTGGCTTGAACCTCTTGGTCTTGCATTAAGGAAACTTTGCAATGCAATCGTTAGACATTTTCAGATCAAGATCGATTCAGATCATTGTGAAATGTACTTCTGGGGTACAGAAATACCACTATCTTTATTACGACAATTTTTAAATAGACAATGCGACAATTTACTAAGTGGGTAATATTGTTTTATCTCCCACATACGACGACAGTGTACTATTCGATGGTGCACATAAAACTTTGAACTATAATTCATTAGTGCATGCCAAATTTATTTAAAACGGATTTTATTTCTATGGCTTGATTGCTTTCTCTTGAGGATTTTTGAGACCTAACATGCGTACAGAAAAGTGAAATTTAATTAGGATAAGCAATGAACTGGAAAGTAGATTTGTCGAGGGACATTTCTTTGCGTGCAAATTCAGTAGGAATATTGTTCTCACATGTTCATTAAACGTAACTATTAATCATCGTCTGACTCAAAAATTTCGAGCCCCCAATCCGGAAACGACTTACCAGACATCAATGAAATTCATACATACACTGCGCAGTGGGGTAGTGAATGAATTTCACGATCCGATGTTACCCATTTATGATTAATTTCTTACACGAAATAATAACTGTTATCTATCAATTCGCATCTACTTGCATTTGCCGGGATAAAATCTACCGAAACCAACGACCAGCAGGCAGACCTCGATTTACAATGCCTTTCCATTGCGCATTGATAAGATTGAGAATTTCAGATATTAAAATTAAAGTATTAATTTTTTTAAACGATTTCCATTCAAGTGTCATGTTTTGCAATTAAATATCTAATAAATCTAATAATAAAATTAAGAGATGAAGCAGATTTTGAAATATGGCGCTATTTTGGCTCGTCACATAAACGAATATAAGTATTCAAAACATATATTTCACACGTGGCGAGTTAGCCAGTCTTCTGTTCCTCGAGAAGGTCGATAAGGTCTTCAATGCAGCGCCAGACGTCGACCCAGCCTTCACTGCAACACCAATCCAGGTCTGAAACAAACGAATTCGTAGTGTGGCCGCCTGAGGCATCACTAATTACTCGATTCGTTTCGGGACATTAAAGATCAACTAAGACATGGATATTGCGATACCCATAATCGCAAAATTCTTTCTACTCAGGCAAATCGCCTGATAATTTGTATTCATTAGGAAGCACCAATTGCAATCATTGGCAAGCGTCCAATAGCTTACGTTAACTGGCATTAAAAACCTCTATTTTTCGCACTGAAATCCGCAGGAATAAAACCAACGATGGTGTATAAGCACAAGCGACCTTGTTTCCGTTGAGCAGTAACCGAGAATGGCTATTGAAACTTATTATAAAAGAGACTTTTTGTCCAAGTTCACGAGTTCAATTGAATACATTTAAACAGCAATGACTAAATGTCTAAAGCAGCGACAGAATTACTGATCGCAAAAACTAGATTGTTTCTAGATTTTATATTATTGATCAAAACGTTTTTTATAAAAGAAATTAGAAATCTAGCATTCCAATTTATTAAAGAAATACTTCAATGTCACGTGAATGAAAGAGATACTCGCCGGGTTTCCCTGAGGCATTCGAACGGTAGACTTGGAATTCTAGACTAGGCTTCATATTTCCGAAGGTCAGATGCCATTAAAATGATGATGAAAGGTTATGGCAGCAAAATTAGTTGATTACTTGCGAGCACGAATTTAAAAACTTTTAAATTATTGGGGACGTTAATACTTCGATTTGGTTCGCAAGTAATGCGACAAATATCGTCCTTAGTTCATCAAAGCGCCTCAATATATTTGCGACGCCTCGTTCCTAACTCACAAACGTGTAAACAATGACAAATACATAATTGACCTAAGGCCATAATAATGCAATATTTTGATACAATCTGAAATTAGGTATATTTCTCCTCATCTAGCAAAATATTATCCTCCTCTTCGTCATGAGCTTACCTAAGATGAGATAACTATATGAAAACCTATAATGTTAGAAATGACATCAACAAAATAAGGATAAAAAAAAAAGTGCTAGCAATGTGCATTTAGTTGCGACAGCCTAATTACAAAAGAACAAGACGTCGAGGCAAGCACTGACTCCAATCTTCAAAAAAACTAAAAATGAATGAAAAAAATTAAATCACTCATAATATTAAAATTAAAGATACTGAGAATCATCATGTAGTTTTAACTCCAATTAAGTAAGACGAGTTACATTAAGGGGAAATAAGTAGGTTCTTTCAGGCGCATGGGCAAAATTTATCAAAAAAAGAAAACAATGGATCATTAACGAAAAAATGCGACTATTGTGCTACAAAATAAAGATAGTAGTGCAACTAAATTCATCGCAAATCGGTTGGTTTACAAAAAATGTGACCAACTACGAAGTTGCTCATCATACACACAACGGAGAGATGCCTCAAAAATAACGATGTTTTTGTAGAAATCTCAAGTTTAGAAGTACCACAGTTTGAGAAAGGAAATGAGGCTCAAATATTGCAGAACATGAAAATTAATTATTAATTACTTTTAACCAGTGAATTTCCTCAACCATAAATTAAATTTGTACTACAAAATGACATCAGCAGTTCTTACACTTCACTTTTAGGCAGCGATGGTTATGTCGCTTGTATTTCCTGTTAAACCTATATACTGAACTTATTACGAAGGCACATGAGGGAAAAATGATCCGTTAGAGGCTACAATTAAATGAGACAAAATACAATCAAAATAACGGGCACGGCCACCACGTTTGCGCTGTTAATGAAGGATTCGCACAACCAAGTCGCGATATTTACATTTATTTTTGAGACTGGCAATGCGCTTTGAAAACAGAAATCCTGCAGTGAAGAACTCGTGGTTCCGATATCAAGTAGTTCTTGATGCACCAGATAAGGTGAACACGAGGAATATGGCTCTACTATATAGTTGCGTGAATTGTTAATTTCTGAACATGCAGGATTTCGGGTGAGGCAGATTGACATTGGATTTTTCGGTTCAGTGGAAATCTCAGAACTGTTAATTTTTAAAACAATGCTCGTTTTGCAACTCTGCTTCAAACCAGCATCTTGACCGTCCACATCTTTGATGAAAATCGGAACGTAAGGGTTAGAAAAGCCACATTGAAAATCGTTACCTCGCACAATGTCTCCAGAATTTTCATCTGTTCTTCCATCATCTACGGCTAACTCTGGAACAGCTTGCGACGAAACCTGATTTTCAGTTACCACAGACAGAGACTCCACTTCTTTCTTGTTCTGGCTCGCAGTTTCATAGGAATCAAGTTGGCACAGAACGTCGACTGAGGCAGGCGACTTGAAGTCGCAGCAAGTAACTCGTTTTTCAGGTAATCTAACAACCGAAATAGGATCATGACGACAAACATTGGTGGGTGATGCCGAAAATATGTCTTTACTTTGATGATCTCGAGCAGCGACATTATAAAAACCGCGCTCATCATGTTCGACCGGTCTAATATAGCAAGTCAAAGCAGAGGAAACCTGACTATTGGATTCTGGAACACAATTGACGTGGGGACAAGAGAATTCAGCAGAATTGAAAGGTTTAGCAGCGCAGAGCCTCACTACTTCGTTTCTGACATGGCATGTGGAACTCGAAACAGACAAGTCCTCAGAGAGACTTGACGTTACTGTGGATTTAGCAGCGCAATGGATGGCTTGGTTGCCTTCAGCATGGCCGGTAGAATGAGACTCCAATTCTGATGGCTGTTTAGTCTGGTTGGCAGTCAACAGGAGCCGCATATCAGCTGCCTGATCTTCAACACCCACCAAATTCTCTTCTTCTGCATCCTTTCCAAACTCATTTACTTTGCATGTGTCTGACACATCACTGGAAGAATTACCAACACAAACACGACGCTCAGTCTTTGAGCTGGCACCAAGAACGTCACGCAAAGAAGATGCGCTTCTTTCATTTTGAGCTACAGTTAGGGTGGTGATCATATCAGGGCTCGATTTCTTAACCGTTAAACGATTCTTCTTAGACTTACCAATTACAGCCTTTGCACTGATATCAGAATATAATTCATCTACTTCTATTCCGGGACCTTTTCTAGAAATAATATATTTCGGTTTCCTATTCGAGAATTTTTCCACTGTGTTGTCATCCATTAATGGCTTACTTTCCAATTTCAAGCTTTCACCCTCTTTATACAAGCTACTATTCTTACTATGAGATCTCGTGTTTGACTCCATTTTGTTGCTAGTTTCTGAAGCATTCAAAGTATATGCATCAGTAACGGCTCGAGCATCACCCACCGCGCTATCCTATTTTTTGGCTGCCTTGTAGTTCAATTCTTTCTTGGGGTCATTCTTGAGGACGGACGCCAGGGTGCTTTTACGGACCAAATCATTTCGGCCCTCCTTGATCATTCTGCGGGAATGGAAATGGTAACATACATTCCTAAGTAAAATCAATGTTGAGAAGTATAAGTCAAGGCAAAAAAGTTTAAATAAATAGCCCAACAGAGAGAACAGATCTTATAGACGCCAGAGAAAAAAATTTGCAAAAGATACACTGGATTTATATACATTACATAATTGCCTCAGTTTCATATTCCCGGAAACCTACAGGTTTTCCCAGATCTTACATGATAAGTTCCGTAGTAGTAATAGTAGTAGTAGTAGTATATAATGGTTTGCTAGCGCTTCAGCTATCAAGCTATTTCGCACCTTAGTTCAAAAGATAACATCGCCAGCAAGGCGGCAGGTCTCAATTATTCAAAATCTCAAATTAATCATCACATACAAGGGGCGGAAGGTCTCAATTGTCCAGCTCGCTGAAGCTGGCTGGAAAGAAATAGCGTTAGCATCTCAAAGAGACGAAGTGCCAATGAGGGACAGGTGAAAAGCAACAGAAAGACACTCGAACAAGAGGTCGCTTACACGGGATGTCGGCCGCCCGCACGAGAGAGACAGAGAAGGGAAATGTAAGGAATCTTACCTACATAATAAGTTAATGTAAGGAATCCTACCTACATAATAACTTAATGTAAGGAATCCTACCTAAATAATAACTTGATGAAAGAAATCCTACCTACATTATAACTTAATATATGGTATCCTACCTAATAATAACTTAACCCCACAACTGATACCTGCAGTCAGACACCGCGAGCTCAGCAGTGGGGCGCTCAGGAACAATCCCCCTAGGAGCGTTCTTACTTGATAAATTAAAGTGTAATCATATCTATGAGTTATCAAACAATTATCTAAACAGAGAAACAATAAATTATCAAAATGATTAACCTTAAAAGGTGACGACTTACTTCGTCTCCCACTTTTGAAGGTCCCGATTGTAGTCGTCCCTGAGCTTCGATGCCCTCAGTCTGTACTGCTCCTGGCCTTCGACTCCCAATGCCTTCCACTCGCGACTCTTCTTTGATATAAATTCCTGAGAAAATTATACTTCTCAGGACACACACAATGCAATTCTACAACAATGAGGCAAAAAAAAAACAGCAAATCAAAGAATAACAGCACTATAGTAATAAAAAAAATATGAAAAATCATCAAAATGAATGTCATTTAGTACAGGAGCACATTATTAATTAGAAATTGAATCAAAAATAACAAGATCATGTGAGAGTACAATGGGCCATTTCAAACGTGTTTTTTTTATAAGAACACCAACATAGGTACCGTAAGTTTTAACAAGTGGTTGCCTGAGGAACTACTTAATGGCAAGGTACTAACTTGGTTTAATGTTTCTCCCTGTTGCGAAACTTCATTGAGGTACAAAAAGAATGAGTTCAATGGAACCTTAGGCTTTCCAAAGACAAAAGAGTCTTCCTTTTGTGTGAGTTTTTTCTTCTTGATCTCCAATTCGATCTGCTGCTCAAGTTTTCTCCGTTGTTTCAGAAGCTTTATTTGTGCTAGCTGCTCCTTGCCAATACTCTTTTGGTAGCTTTCCTTACTGTCAATAAAAATGCTACTCATGTCACCAATGAAATGCATTACAATAAAGGGTGCCAATACAAACTATATAATTGGCTCAATAGAAAATTCCAATGGTATGAAATCAAATTGATCATGATTGAGTATGAATTTTTCCAGAATGGTTTTAAAATTAACATGGGTAACTCAGGACATTAGAAACCCAGCTAATATAATCTAAATACAAAACATGTAAGTTAATGAAACTTAGCTCTTAACCATGCATAATAAATATACCTACATGTTCTGCTGTGTGTTTTAGATCAACAATAAATGCTTCATAGTATTGAGATCTAACTGAAAAAAAAAAGCAAGTAGAAATGAAGTAGGTATGGTATACTTACTCAGCCAAATACTTAGCCTTCTCTTCATCATAACGCTTGAGATACTTATTCTTTTCACCAAGAGGTAAACTTTCCCATTTCTTTGACAACTCAAGGCTCCGTTCTGAAAAACATGGAGATTATGTGATTTTTTATATTAAATAGGTATCAATGGTGGACTCTTGGAGCATAATATAAAATAAGATATTTCACACCCTAAAGGAAGCCAACCATAATACATGTATGCATATACCTATATAGGTAGATTAGTATAGGTTGAAAACATTTGTTCCTTTAAAGTTTCATTGACTATCAGAGAATTTGTTGTATCAACAACTTTCTTATGTTTTTTCAATATATTGAACAATGTTTTTACGTCTGCACAGGTAAATCGAAAATCAGGGTATAATGTATAGGTATATAGTGAACTACCCAGTATAGTGTATATATGTATAGGTAAATATTATATTTTCTATGAAATAGGCTCTCAATCTTTTTGTTTCCAGGTTCATCTTAGAAGGTTTTGCATCTTCCTACCAAAATTAACACAGTAAAATAGTGAAATTCTGCCAATTTATTAGTCTTTGCAAAATCATAATGTCAAATAAATTAAAAATACCTGATTATGTAATCATTCCAAGTAATATCAATAGAAGCAAAATAACTCATAGTAGAAGAAGTGAACAAAATATGAAGTTCACGACTCTGAGGACTCTCAAATAAACAGTAATGAACCACAGGATAATAGGAGGATGGTGTCATCATACTAGTCATGTAGGTAGGTACCTAAGCCAAGGAAATGGATTTGAACCATTCTATAGGAATAAAATAGTGTATCACAATTAATTTAATCATGCACACATTGGTACTATGTTGTGGGTTTGACCAAATCGCAAAATTTCACTGCTGAAAAATATTGATGGAATAATATAGTAAAATCCTTCCTCTATAATTTCAGTGAAAGTTGCACCTAACTATTAATAATACTTATTATTTTATTATCAAACACCTGCATAGGCACAAATAAACTTACACTAGGTAGGATTGTACCATGGCAAAAGAATGCTGTCTGACTAGGGTTGAAGGAAATCTTAGCAAGATGCAAGTTAAGTGTTGTACCTACAGTGGGGGGAAATAAATATTCGTACACTTGAAAAATCGTATTTTAATGTATGTAAGTACACAAACTGAACAGGAAAAGTGATTTAAATTATGTATAGAGACGCATAGTATTCAAAAATACTATCAAAAGAAATTAAATCTCAATGCAACAAAAAACAATGCAACACGTTCACTTTTCGGGGTGAAAAAAGTATTTGTACAAAACAATAAATCCGCATTATTTTAATTTAATACTTGGCTGAATACCCTTTATTCAGCTCAACAGATACCAATCTATTTCTATACGTCTCGACCAATGATTTGCAGATGCTGACTGGTATTTTATACCATTCTTCTTGGCACACCACCTAAAGATTCTCAATGTTTGTTGGGACCTTTTCTTAATTTGAATCTTCAAATACCGCCACAAATTTTCAATCGGATTTAAGTCCGGCGACTGGCTTGGCCATTCCATAACGTGTACCGTAAACTGGGGTAACTTAGACTCCCGGGGTAACTTAGACCACTTTTCGTTTTTTTAACAAAAACCCCCAAAACTCAAAAACTATTCGACATAGAAAAATTCTGTCAATGGGCATTAAAGGCCTAATACTGAGGCTACGTAACACAATAGAAAGATTTAAAAAGTTTGCATATCTAATAGGTTAAAAAATTAAAAATGTGACCCATGAAAAAAAGCTATTNTTTAATTTCTATTGATGTTATTTTTGAATACAATGCGCCTCTATACATAATATAAATCACTTCTCCTGTTCAGTTTGTGTACTTACATACATTAAAATACGATTTTAAGTGTACAAATATTTATTTCCCCCCACTGTACCTATATGAAGAACATACAAGTTAGTTGTTCACTAACCTCCTAATGATTTTCCAGTTAGCAAGTCCTTCCTTACTGCAGCTGAAAAATTTATAAAAGGACTAATTGGTCTCTTTGGAGGTTCAGGCAGACCAAGCTCTTCAAAAACGGTGGTGCTCTTGTGAGATGAAGAGTACACTGGTCCTGTGCTGATACTGAAAATATCAACAAACTGAGTCTCAAATAATATTTTGACAGGAAATAAACTCTCCAAGTCTCAAATAGCATGAATAAAGAATATGAGCCAGGCTCCAGCAAGAGAAAAAAAATATAAAAATATATATATTTCAAGATACTTGGAGGTAAATTTCTATGGAACTAACCGATTCACACAATCTTGTTGACAAATTTCATACTAACAAAAAAAAGTCCCAATATAGAATAAGTTATTAATGCCAACATAGTCCAAACATTGGTGCTATAATCTTGATTGATGATTGGTGATCTTCAAATTTTTCCAAATTGTTCATAATATAGTTAATTTTTGCTACTAGATTTAATTAAATTAGTCTCACAAGTGGCAATTGTGGACAAGAGAGTCGTTGTATTCTTCAATCATACAATGAACCTAGTGAGAAAAACATCTACCGGTACTCTCTGAAACGCAACTGGATTTTTAGCGCATTTTCTCATTTATGGAAAAAATGCACTATTGTGCTCGCCATGTCTGTCCAACCGTCCATCAGTCTGTCTGTCTGTCCGTCCCTGACCTCAAGTTTTCGTTGATGAGAAAATGCGCTCTCTGTAGTCTGTCACTCACTGCAGTGAGTACTGAGTTATATTTTTTTAGTCCTGTGCACCAGTTAGTCCAAATCTCTAGCAGTCTAGCTTTACCTTAGAAACAGCAACAAGAACATTTGTCTTTACTCTAGAGGCTTAAGGCATATCAACACCTGTTAATATATTGTTTATGTTTTAGTTGATGGATGAATGCTGTTATAATGCAGTCTAATGTGACCACAGTCCACAAGTACTGGAGTCCAACACTATGCAATCACAGAAAAAACATTTTGTGTTTATGCAGGATATTTTGGTGGGAGCATGGTATGGTGGCACAGAATTGAAAAAGATGAAAATTTTGTGAAATGACAAATAGGTATGTTAAGTGCAATTAGTTCAATCACTCAAAAATACATTACAGCAATCCCTTGATTAACGCGGTTAATAAATCCCCGAGTTTTACCGTGGTAAGCAAAACCACGCTAATCAAACTCAAGAATATATGGGAATAATTATAATGAATCCTCAAAAATAGCAAAGTTACATAATATTTTTTTTTCCACTAAAATTCATCATATTTTTTTCTAGATAATAGGGGAAATAAATAAAAGAAATGTGAATGAATTAACGTATTGTTTCCCGTGTGTATTGTTGACTTGGGAAACCCTAGGTCTTCACCGATCTTTGTTTTCATTTCACCATTATCAAAACGCTTAATTATTTCAAGCTTAGTCTCTAAAGTGATATTTTTACATTTAAGCGTTCCCTTTTTGTCCATAATTATGACGGTAATTTATCAAGGAAAATTATGTAGTTTGATAAAAATGAGCAGTAGATATGGCAGCAATCTTGACCAGTTGAAGGCTAACGAGTAACTAGAGCACCGGCATGGCGCACTTACCAGCGAACATTGCCTTACTTGACCATTCGAGTTATGAACGAGACAAGGCGCAGTTAAACCGACTCTGTAGTCAGCATGAGTGCCTACGGAACGGGACCTTATTTAAAGAATTATTGGCTGAAATTCATAAAGTAACAACATTTGGTGAATTTTTCCAAAAGTCGTAACAAAAGTAACAACATAAGATCTAATAAGCAAAAAGTAACACTTTTGCTACGAATGTAAAACCTCTGGCTAGAGGCGGGAAAATGATGTGTTGTGAAAAAAAAAGTTGCGCTGATCAAAACTGGCACCGCGTAGATTAAGGGTAGGTCGCAAATTTTTTTTCCGCATTAATCAAAACCGCGGTATTCAAAACCATGCTAATCAAGGGATTGCTGTACATTAGAACTGTAAGATTTCATAGCAACTGAAATCTAACAATATTAGAGCTGAGAGATTTCATAAAAAAGTATAAGTTTTCCCAACTAGCAATGAAAAAAGGAAACTTGCAATTAGTTTAGGGTTACAAAAGATTTTTTCATGACAAAACTATCTGCAAACTTGCAATTGGTTTAAGGTTTCAAAAGATTTTTTCATAACAAAAACTATCTAATTCAGTAATAGTTTGCAAAACTGCAGGATTGGGCTGCAAGATTCCAAATCATAAGTAGAAAATTTTCATCTAAAATTTGTTCAGCCTTATGACTAACATATTTTCATGTTAGTTCTAATGCAGTGGTTCTTAACCTGGGTTTGATTGAACCCCAGGGGCCAGGGTGCAGAAAGTGAGTGAATATCACAAGATCTTTGGCGATGCATCAGCAGCAAAATTTACGCCTTCAGAAGATCTTGCTGAACCATTTGAATTGAAATTATTGCATTTCAGATATTCGCCAGTCTTTGGCCAACTATTCAGAACATAGTTGAAAATCTGAAAGACCGCAAACGCACGCAGTAAGGTTTCCGGTACCGGTACGTTGGATGGATCAGGATGTAGTGAAGCTAGTCCAGAAATCAGTTGCAATGAGTGTAAGTGATGCAGTGCATGGAGAGTAAGGGATACGTATACTATCGAAGTTGTTAGCAGCATTTTCTTATTAAAAATTACTCGGCGACTCATCTTGAAAAAGGCTGATGACATTTTGGGCTGGAAACCATATCTTGGCAATGCAGCTTGCAAACTCTGCACCCTGGCTTATTGCTAAGAAAGCCCTGGATATTGATCTTCTCATACCATTTGTTACAACCTATCTTTGTGAGCAGTCTTTTTTGATGATGGTAAACATCAAAACAGAGAAAAGAAACAAACTTTGTTTCAAAAATGATACGAGAGTAGCACTTACAAAGGTGAAGCTGTGCATTCCTGAAATTGTCAAACTGAGGTAACAACAAAAGTCACATTGATTTGCAACAAATATTCATTTTATTTTAGTTCATGTGCAAAATTTATGTACTGTAGGCTTTTTTCTTTCAACAAAGTAATTTTGCACAGAAATGATGCATGGTTAAGTTTATGCAGTTATACAGTAGTCAGTATACACCGTACTGGTAGTTATAGAGCATAGACATACGTTTTGAATAAAAAAAAAAAAACACTTTATTTTCCCCCTACAAAGTGTTCAATGAAATTAAAAATGCATGTATGATTGTATCATGTATAGTCAGATGGGGTAAGACAGGACCGAAATCACTAACAAGCATGTAGCATCTATACCATCAATAAATAAAAAACCCTAAACCTATCACAAGGTGTAGTTATGCAATGGGCTTCTAAGCTACAACTCAGACTTTCTGCATACAACATAGTTTTCTGTACAGATTAAAAAAAGTGAGCTGGTCCCATCTTACCCCACTGGGGTAAGATGGGACCGGGCATGGGGTAAGACAGGACCAACAGGTAATTCTTGTGTTACAAGGTTTTTAATAAAAGTACAAACCTGATATTCAATATTATCAATCTAGAAACACATTATTTGATTACACAACCACTTGTTACTGTTTTGTGTTGCAGGATGTCAACTCTATTGATATTTATCAGTCACATTGGAGTTTTTGTCACGAGANACTGTACTGAAGGATTGCCTTTAGAAACACAATGTGATATATGCATGTAATTTTTATTTTATGTTCAAATTTTGCATGTGCACCCACTATTGTACTAGAAACTGTGTAGAATTGTTCCAATGCTGCAACTTTTCTGATTTTCCCACCATAGTCCAATATAGATTGGGAAAGTTCAACAAATGAATGGCACCACGGATTCCCAACAAGACCAGCGTTGTACGACGTAGTGGCGGCAAAGAGTAGAGTTGCACCACCGAAACGAAGCAGGGACGCTTACCAAACACATTCAAAACAACTATCTCATATTCCTTATCATGACAGTAATATTACACAGCATGTTTGAAAGGCAACCGTATGGTACACCTAGTCATTAAAGGGTTAAGCATAGTAATAGTAGGTTGGCTTTGATTCATTGTAGAGCACTGCTAAATGCTACATGTATATTCCATTCGTGTCATTGTCTGAAAATTTATCAAATTGATAATAAAACCAATGGATAATAACTTAAGTGTCGGACATCATGTATTTTCTTGCTAACTGCATTTGTGGTGCACTTCTCCGAATATACCAGTACCTAGCCTATGCTCTCTCACAAAGTTGTGATATTAATTATTTTTATTTTTCACGCAATGATTTTTCCCCCAACCACTCTTACACATAGTTCTGCAGCTCACTAATGGGAAGAGACATCCCTATTTACTCCATCCCCTTGATACAATTTTCAATAGTAAGCTAAATTTCTCTAATTAAAAAAGCTAACTAGTTAGAATGGTTATTTTGAGCAAAAGATATAAATTTTGACCAAAATACTCCAGGTTTACTTATGCACAATAATATATTCATTTAAAAGCTACTTTGGATAAACTATGGGGTAAGAGATCGAGGACCATTTGTGGGGTAAGATAGGACCACTTGTGGGGTAAAACAGGATCATGTAGTGGTCCCGTCTTACCCCATGTCCGGTCCTTTTTTACCCCATTTTAGAATAGATGTCAGGCAGTGATGGTAGCAGGTAGGAATGCCTAGTATGTCTCAAAAGTTGCTTATTACTTGAGGTTACCTGCCTACATCCACAAACCTGGCCAAAAATTTTTTTTTAATCAGACAGAGCTTATTTCCCAAATAGGGTTAACTATTTTGTGACCCTTCTTTACATAGGTTTTCTTTAAAAATTAACCAAAAATTCATTATTTGCAGAACAGGGTTGAAACAAACACTGAAATGACTGACAATGATTGCTCTAACATATTCTTTCATCAAATTAAATTCAGTGCAGTCAGAATGCACGCCATGGGCCGGTCCTTTCTTACCCCATGAAGGCTGCGATCCTGTCTTACCCCATTTGACTATATACGCAAGCGCGATGTTACTCGCCTCACCATAAGGCCAGTTTGCGCCTTGCGGCTATAATTTACTGTAAATGATAACATTCACTGCTTGTAATTTTTCCAGATTATTTCATAAGGGGGTTAAGGGAATTTCATTGACATTTTCCATCGCCATTGACGCGAACTGAGGACAAATGCCACCAAATCTCTGATGAGCTTACGGACTTAGCCACCTTCGTTGGCGGCAGGATTGAGTTGAAATTGATATTTACATCGACGCTGGCGATCATGCGACTTAAATAAAAATATCTGGGAGGGATGATCCTGAGACAGTGTCACGCTAGAGTGCATACTTGCTCACTCGTTCATGCTGTTGCATGTCAGGTCAGAGTGCATCCATGCACACTCGGGCAGGCTTGCGTGTAGTTTAGCAGGTTAGAGCGCATCGTTGCGCTAATTTAGGTTTAGCAATGAAATACAACACCTCTTTCCTCTATCTATTTATCTATTTTTCAGTAAATTCCAATCTTTCCCATCAGAACTTGTTCAATTCACATTTCCCTGTTTATATGATTTTGCATTTTCTTTTTCTAAAGATAGTTACTTTTTTCCTTCCTAATATTGGATGTCCTTATTAGTTTTGATCATCACTTTTCTTCTCTAAACTTGTCATTTTCTCTTGAATAAAGTGATAGGCTTTCATATTCACTTTGTTAATTTTTCTTTATCTTAAAGTCTCATACCTTCTTCGTCACTTTTTTATAATTTATAGCCAGTACTTCATTGATTTACACTTTTTTTTTTTAAAGGCCTCCCACACTCACCATTCCAACAAAAAAAAAGGAATTGATTTTATTAATTAAAAACAGGGAATGGTTTCATGTCAATGATCAGGGCCCGGACCTTAACGCCTCTGATGGTGGCCTACACCGACTCCGAGGGTCACTGAGCTGTGACGCGAGCGAGGAGCGGGCCCACACTGCCGGCCCAAACTCGCGTCCTCGGGCAAAGCGATACCTGCGTTCCCATTGCGCCACTCATCCACCGCCATCCGCAAACTGTCGTCCCCGGCCAGTCGTACATTATGTAAAACAGCATCAACTAGGCCACGGACGGAGTGGAGTGACGATATGAACGCAGGGAGCGCGTTGTCCTTTGACATACGGATACCCAGGCCTCCCAGCCGGACACTTTATACACTTTACACTTTATAGCTCTATTTATACCACTACTCTCACTCAATGTACTTTTTACTTTGTTTTGCTTTGACTCATTTAACTTCACCCGGCCAGTGTCCATTGCGCTGATATTCTATTGAGTGTGTGTGTGCAGATCCAATGCAGTTTACTGGCAACTTGATGAGTTCTAGAATATTGCCCGTGTGCTCCAAGGAAATATGTCACTCAGCACTACAAAACTGTGTTTGTGGTACTATTGTTACGATGCACTGACACTTCATGAACTTTATGTTTGTATTATAGTACTTTCTTGTAAATTTATTTAACGCATTGCTTAATATCTCACTGAACCGATTCTATAATTGTGTATTTATGTATGCATTTCTTAATATCTCACTATACTGATTTCTTCTGTCACACTCGCTCATTAATTATCGGCCTGAGTCCATACATTGATGGTCCACACCGACGAGCTTGCGGGAAACGTTTTCGATGCATGTGATTATACATGCCGCGCTTTGGTAACCAAGCAACGGACTCTACCGCTCGAGTTGTGCAGTGGTTGCAAGAAGTGACTTCGAGAGATGTAGCAGTTTGTGGAGGTTAATCTCTTCGACTCCAAGATCAGAGCTTAATATGTTATTTAATTGTGCAAGGAACGATCTAAATTTATTCAAATATTCCTTTCGTTAGTTTACTTGTAAAGTTTTTTATTTTTGTCGCATTTTCCAATAACGAATGCTTTTTTTCAAATGCTAACGTAACGTTTTTGATTAAAAATATTGCTCCCCATCTCCGTTCTTTATATTCGATTTCGCTATAGAGTTTTTGATTTCTATCCCATTTTCCAATAACGAACGTTTTTTCAAAGGCTAACGTAACGTTTTTGATGAAAAATATTGCTCCCCTCCTACGTTCTTTACATTCGACCAAGCGACGTTTAAATCATATCGGAAAACAGCGCTGTGGGCTTCCACTAAAGTGAGCGTTGCGCGGTTGCGTTTCATTAAAACTTTCATATGGAAGCCACGCCGGGCGCTGCCTTTTGCCATGCCAAGCTTCATGCAATTTTGGCATTTAGATTTGCAGGAGTTATCTTCTAGCATATTTCTTGAGGAAAAATACGAGTTCTGATTCTTTCTGCGAACAGTTTGTTGTTCTTGTGACTATCAAAAAATATCATCCGTGAATCTATATTTTATCGGCTACTTGCCTGTCGTGTTCTCATGAGTTCTCACATTTTGTTCGTACATATTATGTTTTTCACTAAGTCAGAGCTTATTGATTATTATTGACAATTGCTACTACTATCCAGAATAAAAAGAAACTAAATTTTAATGAAAAGCTAACATTTATTGACGATTCGTGATCGAGAGATAAGGAAACTGTGAAGTATACAATGTTCTGGAGGGATCAACGACTAAAAACTGGGAAAAATTATTGCTTTTCGGTTGAAAACGAACTACACTTGATATTGATTTTTCTCTGTTTGCACATATGTTAGGAATCTCAGCGGACAGTTACGACTCGCTTGTGTTGAAAAGGTGATTAATGAAAAAGAATGTTGCAGTTGAACACAAGTTATAATTTTTTCAGTGGTACTGGCTTGTAGATAGCATGCAGTTAGAACACTTATGTGCTTAGAATTATTCTTTTCTTTTCAGGTTACAAGTTACACGTAATTTACGCAGATATCCAATACTTAGTAACCTGAACAATGATCGGAATTACTACGTTTGAAATATTCACTTTTGATTAAGTTTTCAGTGTGTAAATTTACTACAACTGTGAAGGGAGTTGCTGAAGTGCAAAAAATATACTCGAGGACTGATAGCTCTTCTGAAACGATCTGTGCGAAAACATTTCCTGTGCTGGTATTGACCTTATTTATGCTGGCTCTTGAACCAAGGCTCATAAGTTTTGATTCCACTCTCACATGAGAAAAAGTGCTTGTTGCGACCTCTAGCTGGCATGTAGGTGGATTCAGTGATGACGTATTCGAATAACTGTTAGTTTAGTGTTCGATCCCAAAACACTAAAACTTCCAGAAGAATTATCGTTTTGTTATCCAGCGACTGTAACGTCATGAAAGTGTTCAGACGAGGCCACCTCCGCGTGTTGACGTTAGGAGGCGTCGCGTTCCTCGTTCTCCTCTACGTTTACTTCCACTCCTCATCCTCCGACTCCACGACGTCTCTCACCAACCCTGCGTCCAACAACGCGCTCGTCGTCGTCAGCGACGGCGACGCGGCACCCGCAGCGTCACCCGCCCGTAAGGACGTGGAGCTGAGCGGCCTGGCGGTGGCCGGGCAGAAGACTCCCAACGACCAGTGCCCCGCTCTGCGCTCCGCCGTCACCGACGTCAACACCGTCGCTCAGTTCCCGCTCTTCGAGTTCCAGGTCAGTCTTCTCAGTTTCTTTTGTATTATTATTGTACATTTTTCCTATTTCGGTCGTTTCTTCGAGTTCCAGGTCAGTTCTCTCAGTTTCTTGTGTATTATTATTGTACATTTTTCCTATTTCGGTCGTTTCTTCGAGTTCCAGGTCAGTTCTCTCAGTTTCTTGTGTATTATTATTGTACATTTTTCTTATTTCGGTTGCTTTTCAAATTTTGTGTCAGATTTAAGAGTAATTACAGGTGAGTATGTGGAGTCAAGTAATTATCGAGATCGCTTATAATTTCGCTGGTACTGAAAAATTGTTCATTTATCATTTTTGTCTAATCATTACTTTGCTGCTACTGAAAAATTGTAAGTGTTTTTCTGATGCCGTGTCTTGACTGTAATATTGAAACGGCAACGTCATTGACTCTTTTTTTTTGACATTTCACTGACAGTCAGAAAAGAATGCCGATGACTTGTGTATATGTTAAAGTATATGTTCAACGGTTAACTCTTGTCTACTGAGGGTAACTCTCGTTACTTGAGCTTTACATAGGAATACCACTAACAACGGCTGAGTATGCGCATGGAGTGAGCTCATACTACACAGACCACGCAGTTTTATTAATGCATTAGCAGCAACGAATGTGAATGATGGCACAGCTTTAATATTGGAAGCCTTTTATAGTGTGACGCTGGCGATCGCGGCGACGTCAACGCAGTTTTACTGGTCAAATGATGATGCGTCTTAATAGTAAAGTTCTTTGCATTTATAAATGAGACATGTTTTCTAAAAAAATTGGCGTAATGACAAGTTGAGTCAGTATATTTGGAGACATGGATTTCTTATTGAATGTACGAAATATAGGTACTCTTAATAGGGATCAAAATTCACGCATGTTTATAGGTGTATCTAACAGATGGGTCATCATCCTATAAAAAATTCGTAGGTACCTTTTTTTGATTCTATACCTAAGTCCATATTTTAAAAAAGTGCGGTTATGTACACAGCTAAGCATACAGGAAAATACAAGTTTAGCTTTGAGAAAAAAATTATTAGCAGTTGGAGCTGTGAAAGTCATTTGCACTTGCAATGCTATCCACATGAGGAAACCATTCAAAACCCGATTTTCGTCATCGACCTCACCTCTCATCTACTTTACATTCTCTAAATATCTTCTTTGCATTCCTCATCACTGCCACACTTGCTCCATGCAACAAAGTCACAATCACCACAATCCACTGCTAAACTGTTCACCTTCACCCCACTCCATTAATCACCTCCTGCTCATTCACAATCACATCCGTTGTGACGCATTTTCTCTCCCACCTCAGGTTGGCATGCAGGCATATACCTTACAACTTACATTCCACCCTCAGGTGCTCCACAATTTCTTCCACACCCTTGTTACACATCAAACCGTCATCCTCGCCCGTCTTATTCCCTCCTGTATGTACGTCCATTCACAACCAGCGGCTCTGCACTCACACATAACAGGAGGTCCCACTTCTGGCGCCATAATGCATTATACAATCGATCATTCCTCGGCATTGTTTACACTACCAGGAGGACATAACACTGATCGTAATACAGATTAGTAAGTTAGGCCGAGAAACAAGTTTAATATTCAATAATATTCCATTATTTTTGAACAATTTTTTTTATAGTGTTATTAAGTAAAGTGATGCTACAGTAGACTTTTAACGATAAAATGTTGCTTAAACTCATTCCTATTTCCATTGTACATATTATATGACTATATAAAGGTGTAGAGGTATCCACTTTATTATCTTTATTTATTCACACATTGAGAATTATGGCCAAGGAAAATTATGGTCGCAATAAATACACGAGGAAACCAAAAAAACGTGTTATTTTTAAGAAAAAGCCATTCATAAGAAACGTTTCTTTTTAAACAATAGCAAGAATATCAAATACTGTCGTAAAATACTTGTAGGAAAAACTGAACGCGGGTTACTAGAAAACGGCGATGTTTTCACTCTCTATTTGCCAAAAAATCGTTTTTGTATTCCTTCACTCTATATTGCGGATGTAATTTTCAGCCGTGCACCCACAAGTGTTGCAATCACACCTGCTGGATTAAATTCCACCCTGCATGATTATGCTTAGGAAACTCCAAAGCTGTGCCGCGCTCGTGCTCGCCTTTCGCGTGTTTCGCCATCAAACTGTTTGCATCATCATCATGATGCAAACAGTTGATGCAAGATATCACATGATGTAAGTTATCTTACATCATTAGTCCTCCTTTTTTCTTCACCATCATCTTCTATTATCAATCATTTACGTTTTTTTATTTTCTCATTATCATCTACTCGATGTTCTATCAATTCCTGTTACAAATTGTATCCATACGCATATATATCTATCAACTAATTATTACTTGATCAGTGATCACTCGGTTGTTTGTTTTAGGCCTTCCTATTTAAGATAGTCTCACTATGCAATTATAGTATTTCCGCTTGTTTCTTCTCAGCATTTGCTCCAAGAAACGCGTTTGGCAACTCATCCGAATCATACGGTCCTCCGCAATTCCAATTCCACATCCAAGTGCATTGAATCAATCGATTTCGTACGCTTTGCAAGATCAGCGTGTTTTTACTATTATTTTTAGCAATAATGCATTTTTAGATTTAATCATAACTTAATTTGCTGCTGTTTTCTTTCTTTCATTTTTCGAGATTATTTTAGTCGCTAATTTTATCGTATGTCTCCCAGCACCACTGTTCTAGTTTTTCAATTAATAAAGTAAATTATTACTCTATGACCTTATATACCATCATCGATATTTTTAAAATTCGTATCAATCACTTCCATCTATAAAGTTAAATCAATAGAATATTTTGGTCAAGTCGGAACCCTTGCTCGAGACTTTAATCGTACAATCTTGAGAGTCTTTCTCATTATCGAGCAACTTCGAGGTCATTAAATTCTCCTCAATAAACTTAGAACGCTTATTTGATGTTCGAGAAATGCTGCACAGAAGATTTGCTGCAAAAAATATCTTAATTAGGTGGCTTCTCTGCAATATTCATATCATAAGTTACTTCAGCAGACTACCAACGAGTTATGTTAACTTGCATTCACTATTTTCTGAATAGAGATGATTGCGTCCGAAACTGTTTTTAAAAACGTGAATAAACTCAAAATTTTAAAATTCAAGATCAATATTTCGACTAGGTCGATGTCACTTACGTTAAAATATTAATAACGTATAATAAGCGCATTTTTGTAATATGAGTCGGAGTTTTCTGTACTGGGTTTGCACGATATTTCATTTTTCCACGTGGCCTCCTCTTTGTGTTGACGTTAGGCGGGGTTGTGTTGGTTGTCCGACATGACACAACCGAGGCGTGCCCCACCTTAGGACAGATCGCATTTCGCACCGTCAGGTTGTCTCCGTGTTTTTACTGCTTCCGATCGGTAGCGAACAAATATACTCAATGAAATCGTAAGCCTTGGGAAAACCTGATATCTATTATATGAAGAAATTGCAGTTGTTTTCCTGCTACTTAATCCATATTTTTGGGCCCACTGTGGAACAGTCGTCAAATTCATTTTCTTAAATTATGATTCAAATTACTTGGATATGTATAACGGATTTAAAATCTTAATTTAATGAGGAACTAAATTTTTTTGTGTGGCTGAACTATGCTAAATGCTTGGGTTAGCTCTTTGCATATTATCATCAAAGTCACATGATATTTAATAACGATTTTTCGAGAGTATAATGAGGCAAAATCCAGTCTGTTTTAACGATTGCTCTTGACTCACATCTCATGATCTACTTAAAAATTTGTATGGAAAATTTATGTTCGGATCATATCACAGGCGCTGGATAATTAACAGAGTTGGGAATTTCGGTTCCACCGTTCCAGTCGCCGGTGTATATTGTCTCCTGTAATACATAGGGCATTAAAATTCTGAATACAGATTTTTCACACATCCGAATGGATCCATAGAAATTTGGAAGTTGGGTCGGAACTACGGGGTTACAGAAATCATAAATACGTATTTTCCTGTGGTATATGCAGACTAACGTAGCTTCCTTCTATTTGATAGACCTTTCCATTTCGTTGGGCCGGTGAATTTGTTCCCCTTCAGAGAAGCACATTTGATGGCGCAATCTCGTAGAAATAAACGACCTATTGCATTTGTTTCAGCTTGTCGCTTATGGCCTCCACGTAACGACCTGTGGAAGGGGACAGCACTCTCGTTTGTTGCTCCTCCAACACGAGAAACTCAAAGCAGCGTGGCAGTTTATTGTGTCTTTGAGAGCGTCGTCGATTGCTTCAGTTGGTCGCTGTATGAAGCTATGTTCAGAGCAAACGTTTATTGTAACTGCAAGGGTTCGGCTGATGGCTTCAGTTGGTCGCTGTATGAAACTATTGGTCAGAGAAACTGTTTATTGTAACTGCGATGTCGGTTGATGGTTTCAGTTGCTCTGCCGGTGGTGGTATAGCAAGGTTTTAGCTCTACAACTACTCAGAAAAGCCACAGTTAGACTAGGTTTTCGTACAGACCTGAATATTTATATACCTGTGCAGTGTGCAATCTATACAGACCTGTGCCTCAGGCGGGCCATTGTGCATCGGTGTTACAGTACCGGAGTGTCATGCCTTGTTGTCACGCTACGCTGATGCTGCCCCTCATGCCTTGCTGTTATTCACACTGTGACGCTTTTTTCAGAAACTTCATAATTCCGAAATTTAGGATGTGTGTAAATTGGCTTTTTGCCAGAATAAGAATGCTAAATCTTTAATCGACAATAGAATAATAGGATTGCGTTGAATGAGAGTAAATTCCGTTGACACTAGCCACATGAACACTCCATCGCATGGGTACCACCGTACTACATAACTTTTTATACCTTTTAAGCCTCTCCGTCCCTGTATCCTCGTTCTATCTCGACAATCTCCTCCAAATGCACTTGCCTTGTTTCGGTGATACGGTCATCTGACATCGTTTAGGCGTCTCGAAAAAAGACACAAGAATTGTATGAAGGACCATTCAATTTTTTTTTATTTTAAAAAAAGTATTCGGGTAAAATCGTAATAAATAATTTCAATTCAATTGTTTTTAACGTATTCATGTTTTAAGTGGGAGCCACGGAATGCAAATGGTTTCGAGAACCAGTCACAAACGAACTCAATTTTTTTAGCAAAAGATTTTTACTGTTTAAAATTTTTGCTTGTAAATACTAGACATGCTGTAAACTGTTGCTCGATGTAGATTAGAACAGGTTACATATCTATTTAGGCACTTTATCGTGTGTATGGATGCAAAATTTGTTGGAGGTACCGAAAGAAGCTCGTTGATCCACGTTGTGGAAAGAAATGCTCTTAACCTTCATACAATTCATCATTGATTTTTTAATTTACTTGTTTTACAGCTACAACCATCCCAGTAGGGTTTAATGAAAGACAATATCTTTGCTTAGCCGTTGAAATCTTGATCAAATCCTCAACACAGGAAAGTGAAATATTGCTGTCAAAAATTTGTCCGCTTTGCCATGTGACGTACCATATATTAGTTTAAATTTTCTCGTGAACTTGATTGATTATCCATTATCATTATCTTTGATTTTTACTTATCCATTAATTGATCGTTACGTATAACAAGCCTCCCCAGTACTCAGACTTTCTCACCAACTGCAACTCTACTCCTGAATAAATATTTCAAAAATCTATACCCTACGACCAAAGCTATGATCATCGTATGGCCGTGTACCCGTATATCCCTGCGGAGGTGGCGGGGCTGTGCTCAGCTACACCAGGGCCTATACTTTCAAAAATGTCAAGTGATCGTAAGTTCATATCAGCCAATCATTGACGGCCTTTCAAGCAAAATCCGCCAATCATAGATAAGAAAATTGAGCGTAAGTACTTACGTTCACTTAACGAATTTTGAAAGTATGGCCCCAGGGCTAGTCGAAATCTCTGCAGAGAATGACACCTCTGATGGCGCTATGATGGCTTTAGCAGTGTAAAGTAAACTGATTCGAGGACTTAACTGTCTTTGGCGAGCCTGCATGGTGATGGCAAATCATGCTGCACAATTTCAATAGTGGAACATTTATTGGTTGTGTAATTCACAACGCTCTCCTTGACGGCATTCAGTCGCTATACACAAGGCCCAATCAGTTCAAGTCCCGGTGACAACTACCTATGGCAGTGTACGGAATTTTAATTCTACAAGGCTTGTAAATGAATGCCGAGAAGCTGACACAGGTCAGAGGGCAATTTAAAAAAAATTGCTTAGTTTGTAAATGCCAACGGTATTTTTATCATAAGGACGTTTCAATATTGACAGATGGTGAATTTTGTGATAATTTATCTGTTCAACTACGCCACAGATGCCGAAAATACTGTAGGAGACCTAAAGAGGCCCACGTGGATAAAAGTTTCGCTAAGTTTGGTGATGGGAAGATCGTGGCCTGGGGCATGTATTTGTGTGATACGAAATATCAGCACAGTACGAGGAAGATTATTAATGATCAATAGCTTAAAATATGAAATATTAGCTCAATTAGCTCAATATCAAGAGACATATCATTCGATTCGTAAGTAGGATATCTTCTGGAATCCCTTTTCTATTTTTCAGGGGTATTTTCTATAGACTTTTTAAATTTTCCCACATTTTTCCCCCTCCTCGTAGATTTTTCGATGTATAATCCAAACCATGTACGAATCAGAAAAAAATTCCTCTAGAGTCGCTATATGATCTTCACAAATCGAATGATTTGTCTCTCAATGCTGTAGCTTGGAAATCATCGGAGGAGATGGATTTTTATGATGGCGTTTTTGGAAATTTTACTACTTGAGGGCCGAGAGCTAAATAAGTAAAATTAATTTAAAAAGAGATAAAATGCCAAAAGAAATTTCTTGATACTGTAGCATCAGCTTCCTTATTTTCAATTACTTGAATTGAAGGTACCATCACACGTCTTTGTAGATTCTTGTCTAGTTAAACGCGAATAATAAGCTATAAATGTGATTTTTCTTATATACTTATTTATATTGATGGTCATTTTATAAAATTTCAAAACGGTCTTACGTAAAAAATATTGCATATACATCGCAATTCACGCAATTAATGAGTATAATTTTTTCACGTAATTAATTAATGAGTATAATTTTTTATTATAAATGTCTGCTATCATTGGTCAAGTCCATAAAAATTTCATCTGAGATTTGGGAATTGATCATTTAATCGATTTTTTATTTCTTCTGAGAATGCCGATTTTAATCATATATATGTTTTTATATTCCTAACGGTTCGTAAACTGCTTAAAAGTAAATTTTATTTACATTGCGCATGAAGAGTTTTGACCTACAAGTAAAACGCCCAACATAGGAAAAGCTTGTGCGTCATTCAAAATTTGGGCTAAAAGAGAGGTAAAAGAAATACTCTTGCTTGCATCATGCAGCGGTTTGTCTTGAATCCCAAGAAATGTTTGATGCAAATAATTTATAATTTTATTAATCTTTTCGTTATATGAGCCTATTCTATGTTGATACATTAACAGACCTTCGCTCTCTCTCCTCCACACTCTTTTCGTCCGTGAAGTTTGTTTTATAGGCTGGGACGGATCTGCTGCGCAAAAAATTCTTTTCCCGGCCCAGACAGTCAGATATCGGCCTCGCCATTAGATTATAATGGACGACATTTGCCTTTCAGCTTGCCTTAACTACCAGCACATCCAACGAGTTATGAACCATGAAATAAGTTTTTAGCTTCGACGGTGACGACAGAAGCTTTTGCGTAAAAAGGCTCAACTCGTCAAATACAAATAGACAAACTTTATCATAGAAATATCTATATGCTACAATTTTCATTGCAAAAATTCTTTTTCCGCTTTCTTTTAACATTGCAAGTTTTTCAATATATGAACCATAAAGACTAAATTGCTATTTGATTTCCGTGAGAATCGCAAGCACCGTCTGGCAGCTCCTCTGCTGCGATTACCTTTTCAGACCTCCAGGCTTGGAGCTTCTGCTATTGTTTCGCGGCACAGATTATTTTTATATTGTACGACCCTGCATGATGAAGAGGCGAATAAAAAGAAATGTTAACAGGACGAAAACGTCTTTTGAGATAGAATAATCACTCAGGGTGAAATGCTAATGAATTTAATTTTACATTGAAGTTGTAGTCTTAATTGTTCGAAGCTCCTGAGCTGGATTCTATTGTGCAGATTATGTTGTTAAAAATAATCACTTCTTCAACATTATTGTGAGGATATTCAAAATATTTACTCATTACTTGGCATTTCGTTCAAATAATTTTCGTAGGTTTAATTTTCGAAAATATGAACGCTAAAGAATGATGATAATTGTTTACATAACAATTATAATTATATCATATAAACATAATAATTGAGATTTTTTCTGTAAACATTTGCATAACTGCATTACAAAATCATGCTAATCACTGTTCCTGAAACCATCACAATAAAAGATTTTCAGATGGCAATGAATTAACAATTGCCCTAGCCTCACCTGACAATTACCCTAACCTAAATTGACAATTACCCTAACCTAACCTGACAATTACCCTAACCTCACCCGACAATTACCCTAACCTAACTTGACAATTACCCTAACCTAACCTGACAATTACCCTAACCTCACCCGACAATTACCCTAACACTGACAATTACCCTAACCTAACCTGCCAATTACCCTAACCTAACCTGACAATTACCCTAACCTCAACTGACAATTACCCCAACCAATTTGGTCGCTAACCATGAACATTGTGTTGCGCAGCCTGCATGGATGCGCGGCAGGGAGTACTGGGACACGAACTTCGAGAAGCGCTACCTCAAGCGTCGCGCCAAGTGGCAGAAGCTTCCTCTCAAGGTGAGACTCTTACACAATATATTACTATTAATAATTATGTTCTAGAGGTATTCATATTTCTGGTAACGTCAGGTTCGTTTATGGTCATATTGTATTTATTATGCAATATCTATTCATGGTTCTAAAATATCTGTGTAAGAAATGTTTTATTTTCATTGTACTATTCATCTGTCTTATTTTTGTTACACCAATTTGATATCCAAATTTTTTGTTTATGCTCAATAGGTAATTTTTAGATTCGTAGGTTTGAAAATTTTTTTTAAATTTTTTTGCTTCGCCTGCTACTTATCGAATCTATTATATATATTTCGTTCGGTCATCAGTTTTGTATTTTTCGACAGTGAAATATCGACTTGTGCCAATAATGTTTTGGCCTTTTTTAGTTTAATATCATCACTGAAATCTTTTAAACCCCATTCAAGATGAAAGTATCTGTTACTGTATTCATGGTTTTGCCGCAAAATATTTTGTTCTTTCTACAATGGTAAGTTTTTTGCTACTTTAAAATTATTGATGTCAGTCGAATGAAAAAAAAACGAACATTTTTAGTTTAAATGCGATTTGATTAAAATTTAGTTTTTTGCATTATGGCTTGATATTTATTACCGCTTTTGAAGTAATGATGTTTCAACATCTAAGATGTTTGTCGTACACAGCAGTCAAACTGCGTAGTCCTGAGCTCTGGGCCCACTCGACACGCAAGGAACTAATGAGCTTAATTTGATGCCACAACTTTCCTCAACGAGCCTCATAAAATGTCCTTACCTTAGTTAGCAAACTTACTAATGCGATTTCGCATATTTAGGATACTTTTGCACAAGCTCGCTCGCAAACATAGGCCCGAGAATGAGAGGCCTATGTTGAATGAGGGCCTATGTTGAATGAGGGCCTATGTTGAATGAGGGCCTATGTTGAATGAGGGCCTATGTTGAATGAGGGCCTATGTTGAATGAATATTGCAGTCATAATGATCCCTTTTCGATCATTTATACATATCACAATATTGCAGTCATAATGATCCCTTTTCGATCATTTATACATATCACAATGTTGCAGTCATAATGATCCATTTTAGTTCATTTACATATCACAATATTATAGTCACAATGCTCCATTTAGATCACTTTCATATTACAATTGCAGAATGCACCTATAAAAATAAAATGCAGCAGTGAAGTTCCATGCCATCTTGAACGAAATTTATTTCAATCTCTTGTTTATGATGCTGATAAATTTCTGTAATGATTCGATATCAAAAATTTACTGGGACTGCAAGATTATTTTCATTGCAAAGATACGACACGGTACTGATGCAAATTAATTTTTTTACATTCATGAATGATTTTACCAGAATACTAATTAAACTACGGAAGCATTTTTTAATTTTCAAACCCATGTTTCGATCATTCGATCATATCATTTACGCTACCTTTATGATTTAAGTCAACAATTATCTTTTATTTTTATCCTTGAGAGTGAACATCTTAAGTATTAAAAAGATCAATTTTATAAGGAATGCAGCGCGTAGAAAAGTTTCGCGCTTCAATATCGGACTATAAAATGCTCATCTCTGACCTTCCAGCTCGTGTGCGTGCCTCAAATTGCAATCGGTTCGGCGTTAGTGTTGAACCTGGGCAGGTTTTATCGATAATGGCGGTGCTGGAGCCGTGCTATATTGCCGCCTCACAGCCAGGTTATGAGAGAGCCTTATACTACTTCGACCGACAGTGCTTTGACCTCGTCCATCTCCGTGTGATTTATTATCTCTTTCGCCATTTCCATTTTATATATAATACGTGACGTTTCAACATAGAATTTAAATGTTATTCTTTCTTGGTATATTCGTCCTTTATTTTTCCCGACAGCTTGAAAAATATGCAGTACTCTGACTTTCAAATTGTAATGCACTTCCACCTTGGCGCGTTCAACTGATAGATGTTATCTACGATCTCTGCACTGCAGTACCAAATTCATCAGATTTCGCGTGCTTAACACCTGTTTTGAATTATGAATTCTGCGATAAATTCGTAAAAGAGAATTTGCTGGTTTCGGAATCGAACAATCGCCAATAGCCGTCCAGATTTGCGATGCCTTGAATAATCTAAGCCAATAATTTTCCAATTAATCTCTCCCGTGCGCCTGATTCTTGGTATGGAACCGACCAAATAGTGTAATATATAGTCTCACCTAAAATTTATAACGAAGTTACAATGATTGTCCCATTGCTTCGTTATTCTCTTTTCTAGTAGTCATGATGTAAAATTACTTTCAAACGCCTGTGAATAATATAATTAGACCGATTAGTCGTTCCCATGATGTAACTTTTTAATCTAATTTTCTTCAATTTTTAACGTATTCATATTTCAAGCGCACAATGCTAACGGATGAAGGAGGATGTTTATTTCCTTAGCCCGGCCAAATTTACCTTTCAAAAGGAATTGAACGCTGCAAGTTGTTAGAACGATATTCATTCATTGTTCTGATATATGAGAGTTATTACATGACCTGCTAAACTACTCTGCCGAGTGATTTTGCTTCTCTGGTTCAAGTTGACATTCTTTTCCACGTTAGGAAGTCAGTAATCTTCAGAAGGAGGCAGGTCATCGAGGCATTTATTCTGAATGCGTCTCGCGTATCGGCGTGTGGAGCGGACGCAAAGCGACATCGAATCCGTTATTTCGGGTCGTTCAAAAACTGAAGCTAATCCTTTATCGACCGCTAGCCACTGTCAAACTCTACATGGTTCTTTAGGTTCAGGCCGTGTAATATTTTACGACGGTTAATTCAACCGATTGCTAGGGATGCCGGGCTCGTTATAAATTATGTATGCGTGAAATCTGATGCATGCAATTTGTCCTCGCAGCCACCGGCTTGGTCCATGGCCACCATTGGGCCATCACCGAGTAATACGTCATAACGTGGCTGTCGTCAGGTTCATTTACGATTCATTTATGATGGTCGTGCAACCTGCAGAGAATATTATCAGAAGAAATATAGTGTGCAGATGATCTATACTGCAGGCTACAAATAAAATACCAACTTTGAATCACGTGCTAGAAAATATCCCGAATAAGTTTCCAGTCTTGCCAGTGCGCCAGTCTTGGTTGTGAGGGACTGCACTCTTAATGTTGCCAGACATTCGCTGTCTTACCGAGACATTGGAACTTCCCACGAGACCCGCAAGATGGACGAGGCGTGCGTCTTATTTGTTTCGGGCCCCTGAGCCTCGAAGCCGACACAAAGTTTGGGTCTTGGCTTCTTACGTTCATCCTTCTTGCGGCGACGTGCGAGCGCTGCCCTCCATTTGTGCTGCGCCGATGTCGCTCTCGCTCGACCGCGCTCTTATTTACTTCTGGACGCTTACACGTAGGTGAACTGTTGAGTATATACCGCCCATTACGATCAAAATAAGGTGCCTTGATAATTAATTATTAGCAGCAACTGGTGACACTCATGACCATACTCTTATTCGTTTTTTCATACTCTTATTTACTTCTGGACGCTTACATGTAAGTGAACTGTTGAGTATATACCGCCCATTACGATCAACAGAAGATGCTTTGATAATTAATTATTAATAGCGACAGATAAGATAACAACAAATTATTTGGACGAGAGGAGCGAGTTTTTTTCTTCTTTTCGTAGAGAAGAAAAGATCTTTCCAACGATTCAGCTAAATATTCACTTCACGAAAATTTTCACTTGAGAAATGAAGCTCTCTCTTCTCTGCTGGCTCACTTATTTATATGAACTATCATACATCCTCTTACTAGCTACTCAACTCGTACTCTATCGCGCCCTCAATTACATAAATATGTAAAATTTTAAATTACTACTTCATGAGAATGCCTTGTTCTCATTTTCGTACAATAATGAAATCGACAATACGACATGATTTTTATTTGACGTTGGTTGTTTAATTATCGGTGGGATTAGGATAAAATTACTTTCTTCATTTATTTATCTTCAACAAGAAAAATATTCCACATTAGTTTTACTTTGAAAGTAAAATGGGGGTAAATTTCGTTTCTCATTGTTTTAGTTTATAGAGCTGATGCAAGTCGAGTACAACCTGTCCTCCTGTGATTTATCCAAAGCTGTTACATGCTAAGTTACTTTCACTGATGTAATGAAGCTATTTGGAACCTTCAAATGTTGACACATTATGTTAATTCATATCACGGATATTCTTCTTTTCACTTCTCTGTCTACAAATCTCCTCTGCAGAACCCATGCCAGATTTGTTAGGAGTTTATTGATTCGCATGCTGCTTTGTATTCCAGTTTCATTCATGCTTCCATGACGTATATATTCATTGTTTACTCGTATCCCGCCTATTACATGTCTGACAAATGATTTTTCAATTTCTCGTATTCAATCTTCGTGTATTTTCAGCAATTCGATCTCTACGGCCTTAGATTCGAAAATTAGTGACAATACTTTAGTCTATATATATAAAGAGTTGAACGTGAGAGGCAATTGCAAACTAAAGTATATAATAATTAAGCTAACAAAGCCTACTTTGCTCTTGATTGATACTGAAGAAGTATTTCCTTGGGCGCCTCCAGCTTCATACACCTGCGATGTTGGAAGTCGAACGCGTGGACTGATCACTTTACTGGCAGCCTTTTCGCACTCCATATTTGACCATTAAATTTATGCCGCTCCTTGCAAAATTAGTCCACAAATTTCTACACATGAGACGATTTTCTTCAATCATGGAAATTTTTCTACTATTCTCGCAACTATTATTCGTGCGAGAAAGCCGATAATTTATAAGGTTCAGCTGCTGATCTTCGTGCAGCAGGTCACGCTATGCTTCCATCCTGCCCTATGCGCATCATTACCTGCTGATGCGATAAATCGAGCTAATTACTCACATAAAGTATAATTATCCCGTCATTACTCACTGACCTTATGGTTTCATAATCTGGGCGTCCTACCTGGGCATGGATTTTAATTAATGATCATGCGGAATGACGCTGAATTTAAGGACATGA